ACTTCATTTTTCACAAGTATGAGATACATTAAAAGCCACAGCTAAGGGAGCCAGGACTTAAGAGCCGCTTACAGATTTTAACCCCAACCAAGTCCTGACTGGACCTAGGAACCGATCTGATGTGAAGGAGAACAAAAGGGACTGAAGATGACCTCAGCGTGCTGTTTGGGTGACCAGCGAGCAGTGTGTTCACTAGTGGTGGAGTATTAAGGACAAGGAAACCTTTGTACTTAAGATGATTGGACACATATTGCAGAAGTCCATGTAAACAGGCTCACTGAAGTGTATCCACCACCAGCAATTGGCTTCCTGACCCCCAGGCATAGTAGAGACTGGAAGAGTGGGCTGAGACTCCACTGCAGAGAAAGGCCTGTGGGTATTATGCTAGAATCGAGGTGGAGAAGGGGAAATCCCTGGCTGATGATTGTACTTGTGGGACAGACAGATGGGTGAGGAGGTGGAAGGGAGATCCCTGGTAACCAGGGAAGATACACAAAGGGGCAGAAAAGGGTTTTACAAAGTTAGCATTTAGGTGGTCCCTTCCTTCCTGAGGTGTGGTCCCACGCCAGTGGTAGAGCAGACATCTCAGCTCTGTAGTGATATGAAACTAGAATTAAAGACCTTTTCTTTTGAAAGGTGATTGACTGAAACAAAAAAGTCTATAAAAGTAGCAATATCACAAGAAAAAGCTAAGTTTGTCTTCATGGACATAATGTAGTCATTCCTGTCGGTTAGAAGTGTGGGGACAGAAGAAACAAGGAAGAGCCTAGGGAAAAGTGGAAAGTGAAGGACTTAAGTTGAGGGCAGGGTGCAGGGCTGCAGCCGCACATGCAGCAGGTGAGGGAGCAGTGCCCAGGGAGTCCGTTCACTGTTGCCCTCACAGAGGAGCGACCACAGTGAGCTTGCCTCTCCCTCTCTCCCTGGGACCAGCACATAGCTGAGGGGCAAAAACCCAAAATGTTGCTGAGTACACAGATCATAATCGAAAAGGAGAACACCTGAGGCTCGGCCATGCACTGAGTCAGTCACAGAGACGTCCTCTTCAGAGTTTATCCCCTACTGTGAGGCTGGATGCAGATGTTGCTTAATTGTTCCATTAAGGGAAAGCTCCTTGGAAATCATGCCTTGATTTGTTAAACCTATATGTAGGATCAGTAAATGTGTATCCCAGTTTCATACCCATTCCCAAGACCCACTCTTAGGAGCTGTGCTTAAAATTGGTTAGTATGTTTCCAAAACTGATAGGTACAGGAAATAGACACTCATCCAGGAAGGAAGTATGGACTATTAATAGCCTTTAAAATGAGGAGGAGGAGAACCTGAGCCTCTGAGACTTCAGAAATTTGGCAGGATTGGGGAAATACCAAGAGTTGAAACGGGCAAAGCATAGAGGAGGTAGAAGTGGGAGTAATGTAGTTCAAGGTGAGCCAGAAAAAAACAATACCCAGTTTCAGAAACAAGCCCAGGCATGGTAGCATAAGTCCGCTGTCCTGTTTGTGCAGGAAAGCTGAGGTAGGAGGACCATAGTCCAAGGTTAGCCCCAGGTAAACCCAGGAGACCCTACCTAAAAAAGAGAGTGTAGCTCAAAAGGCAGTTTACTTGAGGCTTTGAGTTGAAACTCCAAAAAGAGTTGAAGCAGAAAAGATAGTTATCTCACAAATAGTAGAAAACCTAGGTCTAAAAACAAGAAGACCCCCTTCCTAATTAAGTTGGGGTTTAAGTAAAAGTTCAACAGGAAGTTCCATCGTATATGCTCTTTAGGGAACCCAGTTATCAGAGTAAGTAATATCATTGTCTCAGTTGTAAAATAGTTCAGCTTCACTTTTATTGAAATATTGAGGTTTATATGTGTCCATATATGAATTTATATATTTACACATACATAGTGGTATTCAAGTACATGGGACAAATTATTTTGGTATGATACTAAATATTATTCTGGAGAATTGCAAACGAGGTTCAAGCTTGCTACTTGGCCTGTGTAGTGAAGGAAAAGCAGTACAGCCATTTGTGGGCTAAAACATCATCCCATAAGACTGTCAAGTAGTGAGATCACACAGCCTCAAACCTTTGACACCATTGTCTTACAGTCTCCTCCCTCCCAGTCCCACTTCCCTCTGCTCCCTCCCCACCAAACATGGTCTTTTCAGAACTAAATTAAAATGAGAAGTGTGGTTACTGTAAAATAATGAGGCCTCTTGGGAGAAGAGGCAGGCTATATTGAGTTAATGCCCTAGGATTGTGGTTTGCGAGTGATGATGGCGTCCATGTCACTGCATAATTACTATCCCTCCTCAAACACCCTGCGCTGTTGGCATACAGCTCCCGCGCCCATGGAGGCAAAATGGCAACAGCAGGCTCCCACGTCCTGAGTGTATTTGGTAGGTACAGGCAACTTTCTGAGTGTATTTGGTAGATACAGGCAATTTTCTGTTTACAATTATTTAATTTCCTGAGCCACAAATTTGCTTGTGCTTTCAGCAGCTGATTAGTATGGGAAGTGGCTAATGAAGGCACTGAAGGCACATTCTTGCTCGTTCCTATTACTATTGTTTTATGTGGCTTAAAGACAGTCTCTGGATGTCTGGAGAAAGTGAGGAGGGGGAGAGTCAAAAAAATTGTTCATTTATTCTCTAGGAAGTGAGCTAGTTTCTGAGATAGATTTATACTACACACTACCTGCAAACAGGGACAAAAGACAAGGGACAATTTCTTCTTGTAGGAAAGATGTTTTAAGTGAAGTAGATCCACAGTCCCTTGATGGCCAGTTTTCTGTCACTTGGTGAATGTTCCTTACAATTCAGCAGTCAGCTTTGCCCGAAGTTGAAAATGCTATACAGTATGCCTTCTACAAAAAAAATAAAAAGAAATGTTAGGCTGGGTGTAGTGGCCTACACCTGTAATTCTAGAGAGGCAAAGATATGGTTTAAGGCTAATCTCATAAATAGTGACACTTCATCTCAACCAATAAGCCAGGCATAGTAGTTCTGTAATCCCAGCTACATAAGAGGCCAAATAGAAGTAACTGTAAGCCCAGCTACATAAGAGGCCAAAAGTAGATGGATCTTGACCCTGGGCAAAAAGCATGAGACACCTCCCACACCTAAAAAAATAATAAATCATGCAAAAAAGGATTAGGGCATGGCTGGTAGAGGGTCTGCCAAGCAAACATGATGCCCAAGTTCAAATCCCAGTTCTACATGGAAGGAGGGCAGGAGGGAGGAATGTCACTAGGCTTACTTTGTGTGTTTCTGACTTCAGTTCAAGTGACAAGAAATTTGGATCTGAAGAACTTCATTAATTCTTATAAGATCCCTGATAGCAATGACTTTGGTTGTTTTGTTGATCTAGGAATATCTTTCTTCTTCCCTCATTTTCAGTAGACAGTTTTGATGGATAAAATTTTTGTTATAGCTATCTTTTCTTCACTCTGAACATATTCTGCAGTCTATTAAATAATTCCATTGTCTCTGCTGAGAAGTCAGTTGTGAATCCACTGGAGGACAGACTTTACTGCCTCAAGATTTTCTCTTTGCCTTGTCAGCATTTCTTTTATCACGTATCTGGATAAATATCTCTTTGTGAGAAAGGAGTGCTTTATCTTATTCGGTTTGTTGATTTTTTTTGGATATATTAATGCTTAATTAATTCAAGAAATTATTAGCCATCATATCCTTAGACATTTGTCCGGTCTTTCCTATCTCTTTTGGGCATGTGTACTGCAGGTATGCATTACAGGTACAGTGGCAGCATGCTCACTAGTGTGCCATATTTCTCTGAGGCTCTGCCCACTTTCCTTTTTATTCATACTTCTTCGGAATGGATGCCAGTACTTCTTCATTTTTTGCCAGTTGTATCAACTTTTGAACCCTGCAGCAATTTTTTTTTTGTTTCAGTATTTACTTTTCAACTTTAAAAATGCTAAATGTGAGTAGGAGGAGATCTTCTGTCATGTTAGTTTCATGGGAAAATACGTTAAGGCATACAAGATATTTTTATAATAAGCTATTATAAATATTATTATTAAACCAACAACTAGTAAACTAGAATACTCAGAAATTAGCGATTAAGGAAAAGAAGGAACCCAGAGAAGCAACACATTGGTGTTGGTTCACCCTTAGGAGCTTGTGGCCCATTAATAAACTTCTGCTTCCCATAGCATAAGGAACACAAAGACATTCAGTGCAAACCTGAGGTATCTAATAGGAGGCCAACCTCATAAATGAAACCCAGAAAGACCAAACTCTTAATGGAAAATAGGGACAAGAAATGGAGGAAGGTGTATTTGTTGTAGGGGGAGCTGTTTTGTTTGTTGTTGGTCTACATTTCTGGGAAGTTCTCAATAATTAACGGTTTTTGTATTGCCTTTTTCGCATTTTCCCTCAGCAACTTCAACTGTGTGTGTGTTAGACATATTCCATACTATACCACTTGTTGTCTGGGACAATTTCTGTTATGCATAACCTCCACACAAAAGCGGCTCACAAAATTCTCCAACTATAAAGCCATGGATTAGCACTAATTTTGTTATGTACATAATAGTTCTGTGGGTTTTAATCCCATGTCCATAATTCTTAGAACTTCATGCTGAAGCACATATGAGTAAAAGTACCAAGGCTAAAATTGAACAAAAGGAGATAGAGTTAGTCTTGAAGAGCAGCGAACACATTCACTGCATTGGCAGAACAGAGCTGTGATGATTTTGAGGATGAGTGTGGTGGTGAACTGAGGGCCTTGAACATGCTAAGTACCAGTCTACTGCTGAGCTACATCCTTGGCCTATTACAACAATCTTTGTCTTTAATCATCTAATCTAATTGTCAAAATGCCCAGGAGTAGAACTCCATTTGCCTTTCACAGGACAAACACAAGGGAGGATCAGGGACTTGCAACAACTCAATGACTTAGCTTGTCTCTCTATGATGGTTACAGATGACTTTCTAATCCGGTTGCCTTTGGCTCATCTTGTGCTTTCTCTCTCCTCCTCCTCTGTTTTTCAGTGGCTGCTTCAACCCCCAACTCCACTGCTGGTGCAGCCATGAATTCCTTGACCTCTCTTGGGACTCTGCAAGGACTGGCTGGAGCCACTGTTGGATTGAATAATATTAATGCACTAGCAGGTACCATAAACAGTGAGTATTTGCTGCTCTGGTGGACAGCCTTCCCCCAAATTCTTCACAGAAAATGGTCATCCAGAAATGGCCCTAAAAGGATATGGAATGGGGAGAACTAAAACTTGGGATGGAGGAGCACATGCTTTACCAGGCAGACACTAGCCCTGTTTGCATTGCAATGCCCAGCCAATTACTACTACTTAGCATTTCTTTCCAATATATAAGTCTTTGTCCACAGCTTGCTGTGGTTAACAAATAGCTTCAGTGGTTTGAGGAGTTTTATTTGGTTTTGGATTTCCTCTACCCTACTTTAGGTAGTGTGGTATAGGAAAAAAAAATGGTAGAGGGGAAGGAAGGTAGGAAGCTAGCATCCAGCTCTGATGACCAACAACTATCAGAGCTCAGACAAAGCACTGCTCCCCCCACCCCCTGCACTGCAGACTATCCATGTGGAAATTGAAAATTCTGGATCAGATGATCTTAAGGTATACACACACACACACACACACCTTTAAAATCCAAAGATTCTTGCCCATGTAATTGAAACCCTCTGTACGATGTTTTCACAATAAATAATAATTTTGGAAAAAATTAAAAAATTCAAAGATTCTTGACAAGTATGCCAGGGAATGAAAGCAGGAAATGAAACCGAGTGGAGAGAATGCATGAGTGTCTCCAGGAAGTAGCACAGAGCATCACTGCACTGGTGGGTGAGACAGGTAGCTCACCTTCTTACACTTGGCTCTGAAACACATAGACTCAAGCCGTGGAAGAACTTTAGAGTCTGCCCTACCAACCCAACCTGTACCTATTTTTATCATTTTAGATGTAGATGGGGATGTGTTCATGACTAAGTTGTAGACTCATGCTGGGTAAGGGTCCTGTACTGGTTAATCTGGTCTTCAGGCTGGGACCAGGGAGTCCATGAGAAACCAAGAGAGCTTCTGAACCCAGTTACATACTATACAACCCAGGGAGCCTTGCACTAGCTTCCCATTTCGATTTTTATAAAATCCAAACCTCAATGGGCTGGAGCATGGCTTAGGTGTAGAGAGCCTGCCGGCAAGCACAACACTCTAAATTCAAACTCTAGTGCTGCAGGAAAAAAAGAAGAAGAAAGAAAGTCAATAAATGGGTCCTTATTATGTGCCCTATTTTAAGCCATCATGATTCAATAAAAAGTATACCGCTTTGAAAAGCCCATACACTTTAAAATTTTTAAAGGACAAAGAAAACAACAATCCCTTATTTGTTTAAAAAACAACCTAAAACTCATTGAAATTAAAACTAACTTTACAATCCTCTTAGGAAATACATCATATGTTTCAAAATAGGAAATTTCAGATAGTGTTAAATCTTTTCATTCAGATCTCTGGGAAAACCAAACAAAAACTTAGGATTGAGTTTGATCTGCCATAAAGAAAAGAAAAAAAACATTTTGCTCCCAAATGTGATGGCTGTAGATTAACATACCATTCATAGTCTGGTAACCACATGACAGCCAGCATGTTGTACTCCAGTTAAAACTGCCTCTAGTTTTTACATTTTTCAGCAGCCCCATAGGAGCCTCATGGCTGTCACTTAACTCCTGTTTCTGGTACAGCTCCTTTCTGACCCTGTCCTTCACCTAGGTTGGATGAGTGTGTTCGTACACATCCCCTCATGCTGCTTCTCTTGCCCCAGGACCTAGTTCCCCTCAAACAAGGACTTTGATTTGATCGCCTGCCTGTCCTTGGTCTGCAGAGTATCAGGCCAGTGGGATGGTTGTCCTCCTCAGCACGTGCTCATGATTGCTGTTTGTGTGTCCTCGTCTGTGTCCTCTCTACCCGACTCTGTTGTATGTTGCTGGACTTTTCCCATCCTTAGTGTGAGGACCCAAGGGGGACTTCATTGAATGGTAGAGAAACCATAACTAGTTATTGTGTGAGGTCTTATTCAAATTTTGCTCTGGCAAGGACAGCTAGCTTAAATTGTTTAATTGGGTTTAAATAAGAAAAAATTTCACATAATCCCTACCAACCTGGATGAACAAAAAAATGTTTTTAAAAAAATAAATCATGCACAAATGGAAATATGTTCTTTCTCGTTTGGTGTCACTACTACAGAGATCTTGTTACAATCTCAACGTTGATTTGGAGCTAATATTTGCTACTTGGCTCAAAGTGGCAAGAGAAAAACCTTCCAGGAATGGAATATCCTCTCAGATACTCCTCCTTTCCTATTCACTAATGAATGGAGGGGCTAAATAACAGTACCGCTCCTCCCTAAAGATAAAACATGAATCAGCAAGAGTAGAAGAAAGAACATGAATAATTCAAGACTTTTCACCTCTAGGTTACTTGAGGGTTCCCTAGGCATGTTTTGTATATTAATATCTGCACTAAGATAAAGTGCTTTGTGTTTATATACTCACCAAATAGTTATGCTCAACAAATAGTCTGTATCTGATTTGGTATGTTGAAATGTAAGTTAAGTGCAACCTAATTTTTTCTTGTTTCAACTGCATTAATTTTTCTAAGTGGCTTACTGCACAGTGCTTAAAATTATAATTGGTTGAATATAACCAACCACAAACACCTGGAAAGAAGTACTTATAAAACTATCTTATGTGAAGCAGAAAAAGTAAAAGAGGCTTTGGTCGCATTAGTGTGACTTTTCACTCTTAACTTGCATTGTGAAATGTTTTAATCCATATTCTTACTCACACAGGTACATAGCACATATGTGTTACCTTATTAACATGGGGCATATGTAAATGTGCCACTAATTGTGCTCATCCATCTACTCTGACCCCATACATCTGACACTTAATTCTCACTTAGTAGCTTGTAGCTTAGAAGTATGTCCCTCGTCTATACAAAGGAAAAACCAAGCCCCCAAAATAGGTTGTATACTAAAGAAAAAAAGGCAAGAATGTGCTCATATGTTTTCTCAGGTTTGTTACCTGATACAGTGGCTTGCATGCAGTCTGCACTGCTCCTGATTCTACTCTGCAGTATCATCTCTATAGTGCCCCCCAAATGCTCATAATTATGGGTGTGTCTGTCAGTTTAGGGATGCTAGAATGATGTAGGTAGAGGACTCAGTAGTCAGACCACAAGCTGATCATATTGTCAAACCAATTAAGGACCCCTCCCTCACAGAAGTTTGCCACTTCTGTCATTTTCTTCCAGCCTTCCTCATCTGCAAATCTAGAATAAATAGGAGATCATCAAGCCATTTGACCTTTTTAAAGAAGAACCCTATTCTTTTTGAAGTGGAAGCATTTTTTTGCAACTGTCTCAAACCTTGTCTGTTGTTCAAGACTTTTAGATACCTGTAGTTGAATTTACAAGTTTTATCTCTGATAGCAGGTAATTCACAGGAATCACTACTTGAAATTGAAATCTTTATTCTGCTATATAATCCATTACTTATATTACCCTGGATTTGGTAAACATCTCACCCGAGATTTTCCAAGATAATTTGGGGTTTAAATATTCATAATATTAGTGCTTATTAAAAGTTATAAAGCTACATCATAGAGAAAAAAAGCCACAGGCTAGAAGGAACAAGCCCTGTGTTTCTTACATGCACAGGTCCCTGACTAGTCCTCCCTCTGGCATTATAGCCCATTTACTTGTTACCTCCTCTACCACTTCCCTCACCTTCTCTCCTGTCTGCTTAAGGCCAGCTATAACTATCTTACACATGAATGACACTAGCAGAAGCAAACAGAACTGCTCAAAGAACATACTCTCCTTCTCCCCCCCCCAAGGTTTAATCCAAACACAGCCAACTCTGTGAAACATAGGAAGGAGAGAGGACACTGCTAAAGTTTTAAGCCTCACAAGAATTCTCTTAGTCCTGAAACATCTTTACAATACTTCAGGAGAAAGAAGTTGATTCTCTTTCTGTATGAAACAAAGTTGGCAAGAGAGTTAAGAGAATCCTCCAAACCTGGACAATAAAAAGAGACCTAAAACCAGAGGGAAGGGAGGTGGGGTACCAGTGACAACAAGCCCCCCCAGAAAAGCCAAGTCTCAGAGAATGCGGAGCACTGGAAGGCATTCCTGCAAGGCTTCTGTGGTAAGGTACCATCTGACAACTGTGACATGAGAATGGAGCTTAGGCCTTCACCCAGCTCTGCCACACATCGATCTGTAGGCTGCCGTGCACATTTAGAACTACACACTTTGCAAAGAAGACACTTCTGGCTTTCAGTTTCCACTGATATAGGAATTTGAGTTTCCAGAAGGCTGATCCCATTTGATCATCCGCTGTTAACAGACTTAAGGTCCTTTTCAGAGGTGCACCGACAAAGGTAAAATAAGAGAAATTACTCCTCCACCCTTTGTCAGTCATAATAATCCAGGATGAGTACAAAGAAAAGAGACAGTGAGGTAAATGTGATTAGTTTGTGCCTGAGGTAGGCTAAGTAAGAAGACAAACTATTACTAATCTCTTTAACAGTAGTTATTTGTACCAACAAGAAAGAAAGAAAGAAAAGAAAGGAAGGAAGAAAGGAAGAAAGGAAGGAAAGAAGGAAGAAAGAAAGGAAAGAGGGGCTGGGAAGGTGGCTCAGTGGTAGAGTGCTTGCCTTGCATGCATGAGGCCCTGGGTTCAATTCCTCAGCACCACATAAACAAAAAGCCGGAAGTGACACTGTAGCCCAAGTGGTAGAGTGCTAGCCTTGAGCTGAAGAACTGAGGGACAGCGCCCAGGCACAGAGTTCAGGCCCCACAACCAACAACAGCAACAACAAAAGTCACTAACAATAAATAAATAAATAAAGCTCAAAAAATATACATATAAAAAAAAGATATGAGTGCAAATAAAAATGTTAAAAAAGAAAGAAAAAGAAAGGAAGGAAAGAGAAGAAAAGGAAAGAGAGAAAAGAAGGTAAAGAAAGAAAAAGAGATTCCCTCAAAATAAAAATTTAAGCCAAGCTCTGTAATCCTAGCTACTCAGAAGGCTGAGATCTGAGTAGTTTTGTTTGTTTTTAAAATTTTATTGTAAAGGTGATATGCAGAGGGTTACAGGGCTACCTAAGTAATGAGTGCATTTCCTTTCAACAGTGTTAGCCCTCCATCATTTTCTCCCATTCCCCCCACCTTAAAAAAAAAAAAAAAAAAACTTGAGGAATGGCTTTAAGTAGTATTCCAGCAGAGCTTGGAAACTGCAGAGCCAGGGAGTGAGGCCTTGAGTTTAAGCCCCAGTACTGGCACAAAATATTCTTTAAAAAAATTAAGAGCCTATAGATAGATAGATAGATAGAACCAAGGCAATTGTGGTGTCCTCTCTTCCATTTCCTGAGTTCCTATTGAAAGTTAACATTCTGTGAAGCTTTGCTTATTTTGGCTCATTACTCAAGGAAAATGTGGCATAATCTGCAGCCAAAGAATCAAAAGAACAGTGGGTTAACCTGCAATTCCCATCGGCTAATAGCCAGAATCCACCTTCCAGACATGGTGTGAAGATGGCTAGAAAACATGATACTCTTTGACTTGTAGAAAACAATTACCTGGGCACTGACTTTGTGTAAGTGCATATTATGCACTTGTGTGCCTTTGGTAGGTAATAAGTGGCTTGAGTTCTCCGTGGTTTATGGGAAATGCCCATTTCCTCCTCTTCCTTGACTCTAAATCAACTAGTTGTCCTGATCCCTGACAGCGTCCTTCCCCTGGTTAGAAAAAAATAATGGCACTACTGCCTCACTGGTGTAAAACCAGTATTTTACCATTGTCCTCATCCTATGGCTTAAGGAGAAAGTTTTACCCTTGCCTCCTTAACCCCTTTGAACTATCCGGTGACTCCTCAAAGAGCCCAATAAATGGATTTAAGTACATAGATTTCACATTCCTCTGCCACTAATATTCTCTCACGAGCTGCTAGGCTCTGAGAAGTAGAAGGCATTTGTTTCACAAAGGTAACAATGGTACTTGCCAGCAGCACGCTGCATGGAATGAAGGTGTACTGTCTTACATGTAGTGCCTCAGAGAATTTGGATCACTGGTCTAAGGACTGACAGTTATCATTGCTTAGGTCTTTTTTGCCCATTGTTATCATTTATTTCTTCATGGCTTCATTTTTTGGTTTTCTGTTGGCTTACTCAGTGTGCTAGCTGCATGCACTTGATGTTGTACTTGTGTAAAATGATTCTCTAACTTCCTTTGGAAAGCACTAATGAATAAGTGCTATTTCTCTTCTCTATTGTTGGGTTTTTTGTAAAGTTGCTCAAATGCTCTCAGGTATGGCGGCTCTGAATGGAGGACTTGGCGCCACAGGCTTGACGAATGGCACAGCTGGCACCATGGACGCCCTCACCCAGGCCTACTCAGGAATTCAGCAGTATGCGGCAGCCGCACTGCCCACTCTGTACAGCCAGAGCTTGCTGCAACAGCAGAGCGCTGCGGGCAGCCAGAAGGAAGGTAGGTACCAGCCTGGGGCTCGGGGCAAGACCAGCCTGACATGCACTTGCCTTTAGAGCACACTGAGAAGATGCTAGAGCAAATTACTGCCATAGAGAAGTCAATTGTTTAGTTACTAGTATTCTTATTTTAAAACAAACCTGGAAGCATTGGCCTTTTATTCCAGTCTTCTGATTTTGTATGCATCTTTCAATTTTTCATCCGTCTCTTAAGATGAAGTTCTTACCCATTATAAGCACTTAATTAGCTGCTGCCATTAAAAAACTGCCAGGAACTCCCTCTCTCAAATCAGCATAGTCCACTAGCTTCTGCCTAAGCAATAGAAGGTAAAGCGCCTCTCCTGCAGTCCCCAGTTCTCACATCCATGTGCTCTGTGGTTTTGTGGCCACCCCTCTGCAGGCAGTGGTCCCTACACTAGTGATGAAATCCACTGCTGGGAGTGACTTGTTCTCTGTTTAACTGGGGCTCCTGGGGAAGCAAGCAAGTGGTTGATTACCTTGCTTCCCTACAACAGGGCAAAGTGAACTTCAGAAGTTAATACTAAGAACAGCTTAAAGCTGATGACAAAATGGTTAGTGACCTAATCCAAATAAATTTCTTCCTTCTTTGCCCTCACTCCATGGTTTCAGACTACTTTTATTTGAAAACTTCAACTTTAAAGACAGTGTTCTTGTAAGAAATAAAATAGTTTTACGCAGTGAAGATTTTTAAGGCGACACAAAAGATACTCTTTTCTTAAAAGGGGGTGGATTGATAACCAATTTTAAATGAAAAATATAGGAAGTTATGTTCTTTTTCAACACTCCAACATTCTTTATACTCTCCGCTGTGACAGTTATTTGTAGGATTTTTAAGTGTGCTTAAATGTTCAGACAACTGTGGTTCACCAGGCATGCAAAAAAGATGGTGCATCATAAGCACCCCAGGTCTTCCTCCAATAAAAGCATGTGTTTATTTGGTCCCCTTGGCATCTGACTATCACAGTGACAAGACAGGGCAGGAGGGATCCTGAGAAATGATACACTGAGACAGAACCCACAAAGCTATCTCTCCCACAAGGTTTTAGAGAACAGAATGCCGGTCTCCTCATGGTTACCTAGCATAGCCTTAAAGCAGTAGTTTAAGAACTACTACTGGGCCCTGAAGCGTTCTTCTGAACTGCTTCACCCAGACCACTGCTCTAAATTTCTTTGTGTTGAGTTTTAAAGCTTTACAAATGTGAAAAATATTATTGTCAGGCTGGGAATGTGGCTTAGTGGTAGAGTGCTTGCCTAGCATGCATGAAGCCCTGGGTTCGATTCCTCAATACCATATAAACAGAAAAGCCAGAAGTGGTCGTGTGGCTCAAGTAGAGCACTAGCCTTGAGCACAGAGAGGTTCAGGGACAGAGCCCAGGCCCTGAGTTCAAACCCCAGGACTGGCAAATATATATATATATATATATATATATATATATATATATATATACGATATATATTTTATATACATATATAGTCAACTCAAAATCACTCCAAGTCTTTGAACTCCCAGTATCATGGTAGCTTGGTTTAAGGTTTATGTTTGGTGGCAATGATGAGTTCTGTTTTGTTGGATTTCATCATCTCTCCTTCTCATATGTCTCTTTTGATTACCCTCTCACCCCATTAACATAGCTCAAGATTCTAACCCACCTAATAGTAGCTTAAGAAGAATGTTATTTCAAAGGCAAATTATACCAGAAAAAAATGAATTCAAATACTAAATACACTAGTAGACTTCCTGCTCAACAGTTCTATCCTTTAGACAGAACTGAAAGGCAACCTGAGATATTTAGTCACATACGTGGTGTGCTTTCCCTCCACGGGAACAAGAGCCAGTCTAGCTTTGCAAAGTAATGGTTTGGTTTTTCTCCAGCTAAATTTCCCGAAAGATTATAGCCACCCTATGTTTGTCATTCTTGTCTGACCACTCTCATACCTTCCCATCTCCCTTTACTTGAAGGAAGCAAGTCACACATAGGTAGTGAGTGCTTCCCGGCAGAGCGCCAGTCAGTGCTGGTGTTGAGTACAGCTTTGACCTTCCAAAGTATTTGTGCTACATACATCAAGTGCCCTTGGAGAATACAGAGCATGTGACATGAGCAGTGTAACAGAAAGCCTTCCGCAGCTACTATGACATGTGCTAGGAGAAATCAGACGAAAGGATGACTTGTGGAGAGGTTTGGTTTTGGGTTTTGTTTTTTGGTTTTTTTGGTAGAGATAAAGAAGAAGGTGACTCCAGTTGGAATTCTCAAAAAGGGAATTGAGAGAAGAGGTTATTATTTTGGTATCAACAGTCTGATACACATAAGAAAGGTTTTGCACATGAAATTACCTAGTCTCGTTTTAATTTTAAAAATTAAAGGGATTTGAAAAATCTGATTTGGAATGATGAAAAAATAGGACATTGCGGGACAGGGAGCCAGAGAGATCATCACCCTGGGGAAATGATGGGCAGGAAGACAAAGCTACATCTGGCTTTTCTGGCTATCTCTGGCCAAGATTCAGACAGAAAACAGCATTCTGGAATAACAGGATTATTAAGTCAAATACATAATCTGTCCTGGGCATTAAAATGGTATGGTCTACTCAGGCTTTGCAATCGAGTCCCATTAATCCTCATCTGTTCTTTTAGGTCTTTTATTTAAAGGGAACATTAAATTGGGTGGTACCAATTTGAGAGATAGATAGATAGCAAAGGATGTACTTGGCACAGTGGCACTTACAACAAAACATCCATTTCCAGTGTTTTGGTTTTTGCATCCATTCATATAAAACCAGGGTCTCATTAGGCTTTAGTTAATGTCCATTCAAAACATAACTCTCCCTTGCACTGGATGTAGACGGTTAAAGGAGTGGTATAAGTGCATTTTTAATAGGTGCCTTTTTAAATGAGGAACACTTGTGTCTCAAAAAGTTTTGCCTCACAAAATTTTCTCAGTAAAAATGTACATCATTTTTTGTGACTTACTTTGTAGGGGCAGTAAAAGAAAGTTGGTTGGACATTCTTTGCAAAAAGGTTTAGTCACTTCTTACAAAGCTTCTTTTTATCCCCATTTTATTTTTCTTCATCCCACACACAGATACCTTTTTCCCATCCCTGGGGAATCCTTTGCAGCCTGTTTTCCCGAAGCTTCACAGTAGAATGGGGTAGACCTGGTTCCTCTCCCTTGAAAGACAGCTGCAGCTCTTTGAGCCAGACGCAGAAGTTACTTCCCAGTTCTGTGAGCTCTCTTACTTCCCATTGTCCAAGTGGCATCTCTGCCCTGTTCTTTGTCCAGTTCTTTAGTTCCCTTCTTGTAAGTTTAGATAGATGATGAATGTCTAAATTCAGAGAGTAAAATAGAGATTGAAACTTAAGAGTTTATCCCCCTCCAATTAGTATAGCTTAAGATCTTCCTTATTCTGCCTTCGTTTCTAGTGTTTTCTGGGAAATGATGGGTAAAAAAGCAAGAACTTAGCTTAGATCAATGTCTTTGAGAAGATTCTTCATCCACCTCATCCATTTTCCAAGGTGAATTCCCAGCAGTACAATTCTACCAAAGTTGTGAGACTCTTAGCTACCTTTTCTCTCCATGTGTTGACTCATTGCCAGTCATTTCAAATAAAGATGAATTATTACCCTGTGTTAAGAGATTTAGCAAATCAAAACTGGCTGGATAGTGGGCAAATGACTGAGAAAACTGAGTAGCATGACTGCCAGATTCATTATTCTAAATTGCTACAATTTTTTTAGAATACACAGAACACTCCTCCTCCTTTGAGAGTACACATCCGAGAAAAGCATGGCCACCCAGGGAAAAACCCATGGCTAGATTCCCTGCCCTATCCTGCCTACTATTACCATGTTCACCCCATGAAGAGAACTTGATTGTGCTGATGGGCATCAATATTTGTGGAACAGAGAAGACTGTGAAAAGAAAGCTATTCATAGCTAATATCCCTCTGGAAATTAGAAAAATCTGAAGGATGAGTGCTTTCTTGAATAACATGCCAGTCAGCACTTGACATTTATCCATCTGTTTTGTTTTTTGGTTTTGTTTTTTTTTTCTTTTATAACAGAGAGCAGAATGCTTAGTCTGCCTATTAAAGTGTTCCTAAGAGGAGGCTTTGGAAACTCAGACTTGAGGGGAACCTTACTCTGATTTTTTCTTCCCTTTAGGTCCAGAGGGGGCAAACCTCTTTATTTACCACCTTCCACAGGAGTTTGGCGACCAGGACATTCTGCAGATGTTCATGCCTTTTGGAAATGTTATCTCTGCTAAAGTCTTCATTGATAAACAGACCAATCTGAGCAAGTGCTTTGGTATGCAAAAGAAACCTAGTTAGAATTTTGTAGTAGGTTTCTGAGTGAGGAGTCAGAATAGGACCTATCTGTGTGACGGCATTTCCTGATTTTTCTGGACCCACATAAACAGATTTGAGTGAAGTTTCATCAAATAAAGCTGAAGGGCCATATAAAAAGGGAATCTGGGAATTTCCCTTTTATTAGGTAATATTCAAAGCTGTACAATTAAGTGGCATATATATGCATATATATATATATATATATATATATATATATATATATATATATATAATTACCTTTCAGCTGGGCGCTGGTGGCTCACTCCTGTAATCCTAGCTACTGAGGAGGCTGAGATCTGAGGATCACGTTTCAAAGCCAGCCCGGGCAGAAAAATCCGTGAGACTTATCTCCATTTAACCACTAGAAAACCGTAAGTGGTGTTATGGCTCAAGCGGTAGAGCGCTCGCCTTGAGCTGAAGAGCATAGGGACAGCGCCCAAGCCCAGAGTTCAAGCCCCACAATTGACAAAAAAAAATAATAATAATAACCTTTCATTTTAGAGTAGCAGCTGTTTCATGAAGCCATAAGATTTTAACTATCTTACAAAAGTTGATTATACAAAGACTGTAGTATCCATACATTCGTACAAATTATGACATGGATGTGGTCAGCTTCTGCCACATTGCAGCTTCACACACCCAAATGTTCCTGGCTTCATACAATATTGGTGGCATTGTAAGGCTGGCCAGGGGCTTTATGGATAGAGCACACAGCAGTGTGTAACTGTCATCCAAACACTGGAAACCTCAGTTTTCCATGTCCTAAGCAGCTGCTTCCTGTGGCATTTGTTTTGCTTCCTGAGTACAGAAGACTCAATCATGTGCTGTTATATTGTTTGAGGATGGGTTGGGGTTTCTTGTCTGTTGGGGGAGGGGGTTCTTTTGGTGGCACTTAGGTTGAAGGCCTCGCCCTTGCTAGGTACTCTTTCAGTCATGCCCCAGCCCTGTTTTTGCTCTAGTTATTTTTCAGGTAAGACCATAAATCTCTCACCTACACCTACATTATTACTATACCAGCTTGTTAACTGAGATGGAGTCTTGCTAACTTTTTGTCCTGGTTGGCCTTGTTGGTAGTAGACAGTAAAGATACCATAAGGTAGATATGGACTAGAAAAAAATACATACAAGTGTATGTTATAAAGAAAAACACATCTAAGATAGAGTGGTTCTCAGATAGCTAAAAACTCAGAAGCCCAGGAAAAATTTTTTTAGCTCCTAATACATTTTCATTTCTAATTTCTGTGCCATCGTCCTGGGAAGTCTGAGGCTTGCTGGTTTAAGGAATTAGTAAGTCAACCATTTCAAGGCACCATTTTTACCCCAGTGGAAAGGCTATCCACCTGAACCTATTATACTCCTGCTACTGCTGTGGGACCTATATAAAGCCCTCTGTAATGGACCATGACTGAAGTAGAAAACAAGTTGTTTCACAGTATGTGTACATGTGTATGAGGGTGAGCTCACCTCTCACACAAGGTTTTGGGACAGACTTTTATATTTCTCATAGCTCAATAATCCTAAGCTTATTTGGAAACTGGAATAGGACCTTGTGAGGGGACTACCCCAGATCTACGGTGTGGCTCAAATGGTACAGTACTTGCCTAGCATGCCTGTGGACAAATTCAGTCCCCAGTACCAACTTATGATAGGACACCATAGTAGTTCACAGATTACTTTAACCAATACAATAAGCTGTAGCTGTGAGAATCTACAGACAGTTATTTGGCATTAGGGGCTGTATTTTCCATTTTTATTAAAAAACCTTACATCCCTGGTTTCTCAGTGATACAGCCTAGTTTCTTCACGCCACCAGTTACTAGATTGCTAGTCATTAAATGATACCCATTTCTTTCATCATTCTTCTTACCCAGTTTTGTTATTCCTCTCACTCTTGATCCATTTCCATTCTTTAATCATCTTACTACTTCTAGATAAAGAGCAGGAGAAAAGAGAAGATAAATAAAATTAGAGCAAAAATCTTGGGTTTGAAACTATATTGGGAGTTAAATTTTTTATTTTTATTTTTATTGGCTGAGAACTCTTCTCAAAGTATATATGTCCTTTTCTTGTTTGTAATGGAATTTTCTCTTTAAACTTCAGTAGCATATGGAGATACTTAGTACATAACCTTCTGAACAGCTGATGTTCAGAACTGAAATTAAATCTGAATAATAGTTTTCTTTCAACACTAAAAGTCAGTAGGAAATGTGTAAGCTCACCACTTCCCTCAGCATTAACGAAAGCTTTGCCTGTACCCTGCCTTAGGCCTTACCCTCTATTGTTAAACTACATATGAGAATTCCTGTTTCTGAGAGAACATACCGAGCATCATTTTGTCTTTGAAAAACAGAATACTGGTTGTTATTGCATACAAACATAACTGAGAATTTGCTGAGACGGCTGCTCCTGAGCCAGAGAAAAAGGCTTTTCTGTCTCAGTAGTAACTACAGGATGTTAAAACTCACGTTTTTTTCTAATTCAGTGTATTCACTAAACAACTCATCCTATAGCCGAACAGGTGTGGACTCTGTCTGTGGGTATATATGTCTCTGTATACAAAATTTGGCCTGAAAGACAGTCATGGTCTTGGGAGTTTACACACATTGTTATCCAGCCCCTCCCTTAACTATCCTGCCTCTATGCTCACTTGGTTGAGACATGTGAGTTTTCTGGGAGGCCTTTGAGCCCTGTAATATTTATGACACTGCTTAAATGACAAGTGCTTATTTATGTACCTGGAATTTTTTTCTAAAAGAACTCTAATGGATTTTAAAGCATAAATGTGAATTGAAAGCATTAAAGAGACTAAATTCATTCACAAGTGAGTTTGAGATTCAGTTTTCTGACAAGTTTTGTCATACTTAACAAATTATCACTGTGACTAGCTCTTTCATTCCCTTGGTGGACATTTTCCATGCTCCCCCTAACACTCGAGGCACACCCTAAGTCTAGCAGAGCTCAACTGAGACCATGTGACTGGACCTATTCTCAGTTGCAGTTGCACTGTGTCAGCCAATCCCGAAATCCCTGATCCCCCTTCTCTGCTCCCTTCCATCTTGACTACCTCTTTCCCTTTTGTGTTTTCCAGGTTTTGTTAGCTATGACAATCCAGTCTCTGCACAAGCTGCAATCCAGGCTATGAATGGCTTTCAGATCGGCATGAAACGCTTGAAGGTGCAGCTGAAGCGCTCCAAAAATGACAGCAAACCTTACTGATCTTAACCCCAGAGGCTCCCTGCTCTTATTTTAGCTTTCTTAGGGTAAGTCCCATGAGCCAGCCTGTTCTCAACAGGGAAGGCCTAAAGAGGAGGACCACATTGCCAACTTTTACCAAGAGAGACAGTTATTTTTACAATAAGGCCTCCATTTTCCCCTACCCATCCCCTCTACCCCATTTGCCATAATTAAAACTTGGGCTACCTTGTTTCTATTAAGTTCCTCCTCCAGTTGTGCCACTGTATTTTCCTTTGTTTTGCAATTTGAATCTCCTTTTACTTTTTTTTTTGTTTCCATTTTTGCTTTTTTAAAGAAAAACATACACAAATAAATGACATCTTGAGAATTTAAAAAGGCAAACAAACGCTAATGTGCAATTCTAACTCTGAAACCACTGGTGCCCCAAGAGCACTGCCTGGAGAATTCACCCCTCCTTGTCCGCGCCCGCCCCTCTGGAGGGCCCCCAGCGTGTAGAGTTGGTGGCCTAGCAGAGGGAGAAGCCAGGAGAAGCACTTAAAACAACACAAAACGTCTTTCCACTACATCGGTTTGTTTTAATAAGTAGGATTTTATTTTAGGGTTCAAAGAAACATGACATTGGTCAGATTATTACACTGGTTGTCTATTTTGTTATTGTTTTATTTTTGTTTTTAGAAAGGATTAATGTAAAAAAAAGATTTAGAGATCTGTTTCTTAAAGCTACAGGGTTTAAAAATAAAATAAAAATGAGTGAAAATACTTGATGTTTCTTGAAAGATAAATTTAATAATAATAAATACATAAATAATACATAAATAAAAAAGAAAGCCACAGGCCTGTAAATTTTATTTGTAAAAAAAGCATTTCTATTTTTATACAAAATTTTTACTGCCTCAGAAATAATGGAAGTTATTTATGCCTATTGTTAACTTATTGGATACCTAAAGAGCAGTTCTCTGTCTAGCTAGAACCTTCTGAAGTAGTCTCTAGAGGAATTGTTCTAGGAATGGGCTTTTGTCGCCGTTGAACCCTACACCTAAAGTTCATGCTTTATCCTCTCGTTGTTTGTATCTGTCTGATTATTTTGTTTGTAATTTCCATTATCTAGTTTACAGTTCAGTCGTCTGACTTCCCCATATGTCACCTTCGTTGAAACTGGACCCTCTCCCTGACCCTTGCCAGTCTCTCACCCCAAAACACATGGAATCCATCCCCTCTCACTCTCTCCAGATGGATTCTCTTGGGGTTTCATTGTGCTGTGGAAAAAAGAGTGTAAGAAATGCAAATTATGTGAATGGCTCATAGACTCCCTAAAGACCTAAGATTTGCATTAGTTTTTCTCCTGCACCCTTAAAAGTGATTTTGTTGCTGCTGCATAGATTCTGTGTAACTTTTTACTCTTCCTTGTTTTTTCCCTAGACATCTTCATGCCCGTTAGTTCATCGTTTGCCTAGCATGTCCCTGTGGCGTCTCAAAAAAGTTTCATCGTCCCGTCATTGTTTCTGATGTCTTTCTGACCTCACATCATATTTGGTTCTCCTACTGACCTTTGATCTAGTTTGACCTTTGAAATTTGCATGTGACCTCACCTAGCTATGAATTCTGGGAAGTCAAATGTGAAAAACATTGCTGCATTTCATGCAAGACTGAAATTATTAGACAAATTATAGAAAAAAAAAACCTGTGGCAAAAATGTTTTTCTTTTTTTTCTTTTCATAAAACAGACTTGAAAGTATTATACAGGGATTGGCATTCTTCCCGGTCACTGGTAACAATAGCAATATGTGTCCAGGGACACAGAATGTTGGTTTCTAACAGACTACTTCCAAAAACAGTTTGAGAAAAAAAACTGTCTGATTTTAAGTCTCTAGAGGTCTGTAATAGTTTTTACATTTTTCAGGCAGTGTAAAGTTTTTTGATAAGGCCATTTTAGGTGGCTCACTTTCTCATTAAGATATATATATAGAACCACTTTTTGTAGATTAGTATAAGAAAAATATTTACCCTGTTTTGGGGCAAATGCTACCTATTTGTGTCACCTTTTGCTGAACTGACTCACAGTTAGACAATCCATGGTTTAATGCACATGAAATTACCTATATTTTATACTGTTTCAATGTACAGGAGAAAGGTTACTGTAAACTGTGTTATGTTGGTGCTTCTGTGAATTAAGTTGTGGTTTCATCATGAGTCTTAAGGTCTTAATGTTCTTTGTCGATAAGACAAGTTTAGAATTGGTTTACTTAAAACAAAAAAGAATTTCAAAAAAAAGTTGTTTGCTTAAAAATAATTTCATGTGAGGAAAAAAAAAACAAAAACCTATTCCAGAATAAGTTTTGTGTTGGCTTGTGAAGCATTGATGTCATTTTTTTTGTGTGGACTATTTAGATGTGTTTGTGTTCAGCAAAATGTGATGTTTTTTTCTTTCTTTCAAAGAAAAAAAAGTGAAAATATATAGTGCCAAATTCCAAAGGTACTTCCTTCCTAGAGCTTCAGTGTGTTTCTTGTGAGAAGTAATTTGATAACATGGGTATTTTATTATGTGTTTTGTATAAATCCCTAATATTTAAAAAAAAAAAAAGGTTAAAAGTTTGTTAACTTGCTATTCTGTGGTCTTGTTGCCTGGAATTGTTATTGTTTGTTACTTCTCTATGATGTTTTTGTAAGACATTGTATAAGTGCCCATGTCTCACTTTTTAACCACTCTGCACATCAATGCTGTGAAGGCAGCCTCACAATGTATTTTCTTCATAATACATGGAAACCTCTAAGGTGAGAAAGTTGTGAACTTTAACCCTTTCTACCCAGAGCTATCTGGAATGTTGGTAACTTTTTATACTGTCATCACTTCAGTTTGTTTGGGGGTGTTTCTAATTTGGAATTTTTCCCACACATCTTCTAAGTTTATTATTATTATTTTGCCCTTCAATTGAAATCCAGAAAGGAAAGGACAAAACAATTACACAAGACAAATTTGAAGAGAGGAAAACACTCTAATTTTTTTCCTATACCAACTTCTTTATTTCTGGTCTTTTATTTTAACTTCCTAATGTGCTGCTGGAATTTGAATTCCTGATGTTCTGCGCTCCGCTCAAGTTTAAATTAACAACAGTCTACTGGACAAGCCCAGAGGGGCAGTAGGTAGCTTTCTGAGATTCTGTTGAGTGGTATTTTTCGTACATCTTGTAGGTAAATGACTTCGGGGGGTGGGGGAGGGAGGGAAATGGTCTTTTTGAGAAATCTTACTTTTTTACTGAACACTCCTAAATGTTCAGTCAGCCATTGTGATGCGGGCCCTGACCCCGTGGGTACAGCTGTGTGAGCCTGGTGTCTGCAGTGAGAAGCTCTTGGTCCTGTCCCTGCCTTTTGAGTTTTCTAGTTTAACAGAGCATACGTAGGGACTGGCCATGTAAACAGAGCTTGATGCTTCACCACAGTTACTTAGCCACTTTTTAAAGCGTACTCTGACTTTGACTGTACAAACAGTTGACAAACGTTAAGGGCATATCTACAGCCCCAACAGGAACTCCAGCTTTCCTGAAAGCAGGCCCCGGAAGCATCTTGGTCTCAGCTCTTTTCCTGCTCACCCACCCTGTTTGGTTTAATATGTGTGGATGTGATAGCCTTGGGATGGAAAGGATTAGCCTCTAATGATGCAAAAAAAAAAAAAAAAAAGTTTCCTTCTTATAGCACATGCACTTCTAATGAAATGATTTGTACTATTCTCACACGTGTTTACTACTGCCGGGGCCTTCCTTCATCCTTTGAGGGCTATTTTGTACTTCCTGCAGCACTCAGCTTAGTAACAAAAGTGATCTCACATATGTCTCTCATATACCTAATAGATGGTGGAGTGTAGATACACACATAGAAACACAAAATTAGCAATCAAATCTAGTCATTTATCAATTACATAGATCTCAAAAACTCTTTTCTCATTATTTTTCACTGAAGCAAACTACCCTCTTAACTCACCTGCATCTCCCCCGGAGGAAACCCAAGTACAGTTGACAGGTTCGGGGTGGGCACTTCTACTTGAGCATTTGATTTTTGCAGGCAAAAATGGGGGGAATTTTTTGTTTGTTTTGTTTGGTCTTTGCACATTTCATTGTTAGAAAAATAACCCTCCTCAGTGACAAATTGTCCTTTTATCTTTTAGTATCAAAAGGAAAAAGCTGCAAGGGTGCAAAGGGCCTGTGCCAGAAGACAAAACACAGGGAAACTGCTTTTTTTAAAAAAATCAAGTGTAGAAATAGTCATTTTTAAACTAAATTAGAGAATTGTGGTAAAATGGCAGTCCTCAAAGGCGTAACAAGTTCCTCTTTCTTTCACCATAGGGGTTATAGTTCTTTGGCTTGTGCTACTCTGGAATCATTTTACTGTTTGTTTTTATTATCTTAAGTGCTAATTAAAAAAGAGAAATAAAATCTTAAAAAAAACTGTAGTTTCATTAACTTTTTGAATAATGTCATACAAAAACTGTATTTGTGTTTTTGTGCTGTGAAAATTGTTGTTTGTAGATTAATAATATCATTTTGTTTAGAATTACAAAGTAGTTTTTAAATATTGTCTGAGAAAAGCCAAAGTTAATGCAACATAGTGGAAACTGTAAGACCATTTGAGTATTGTTTCTGTTTTATTGATGCATTTGGATTTTGTTGTTTGATGGAATTTGAGCCAAAAAAAAAATGCAGGCTTTCCTATTTCTACAACTGATTGTACTTATGCATTTTGTACCAGTGGAACTTTTTATACTGGAGATTAAAAAAAAAAATGGAAATTTCCGTGGCTTAACTCTATGGCCACCTGACAATGACTGATTTCAAGTTTGATTTCTGGTCGATAGAAAGAAAGTTCTTTTGAGAATTAAAAACTTTGGCTTGATTTTTTTTTCCCCTTTGCTTATATCTAGCATTAGAATTTTGTCTTAAAATACAGCGGTAAGTTTCACTTTTTATTCTGTATTGTGCAGTTACACAATAAGGTAATTAGATTTAGAAGTACTCAGTCTCTTTAAGTGGATAAATGTATTAGTTAAACTTTAGGGGTTTGCTTTTTTGCTGTTTAGATCAAAGTTTTTTCTGATTCTTCTGTCCTCATTGTGAACATAACCGTGTAGTTGAAACAGTCAAACTTATTTTTGTAATGTATGTTATTGTGTGATGCAGTTTTTTGCTTCTGTCTCCAATATTAAACCATTTTCCTAATACTTGTTTCTCTCTCTGCGTGTTGTATTGTTGGTAGTCATTCTGTGTTGGTGATGCATCTACACACCTCACTGTTTCACGTATGTTTTTTTTCTATATGTTGTGTAAAAAGATACAGTCGATTCCACCTAAGTGAATATCTGATTTGGGGAAAGAGGAAACTGCACACCCAGATACCTTTGATTTATGTACAACCACATTCTCTACTGCTTCTAAGACTGATCATTTTCTCCTATGGTTCACCTAAGTACTAAGTAACAGTCGGCCTCCTGAGGCGTGTTTGCTGAGACATTCATTTCACAGTCTTGACCACACAGGTTCATTTATTCTAACACCTCCCGTCCCTTCTTCCCCATGAATGTGGAGCACACACGTACATTACACCTCCTAAGGCTCACTAAAATCTGCTACTACAACCTTAAGAGGAAAAGCCACAGACCTGGAGGGGAGGGGGTCCTTCTGTCTACCCCCAAGTCCAAAGCTCTTAGAAAATGATCTCCTTTTCAAAGGTGGCAACCTCTCAAGAAAAGGAACAGTAAGTCTCCGTGTTCTGTCCATCAATAGATACATATAGAAAAGTCATTTACATTTACAAGTTCACTGAATCCAGCAGCAGCTTTAATTATTAAAACTAACAGAAGAATATCCAAGTGCTCAAAAGGAAGTTCTCAGTCTGGAGCCAGGTGGGGGGCGCCTCTCCTTACTCAAGTCCCTGATGCCAAAGTCACAACGTCATACAGATCCACACTCCCTCTGCATGAACACATGAGTAAGCTGTGTTTCCACTGTCAGTCAATGCCAGAGATCACAAAGAGGACCTGCCTATCCCTTACATGCCCTCTCCATCAAGCCACAGGCCTCTGCCCATTCCTCTGCTCAGGAATCAGACTGCTCTTAAAGTGCTCTTAAAAGAGTCCGCCAATGTTTGCTCCCTATGTCTTCTAGCTCCTTCCAACTTTCCTGACACATAAGCTCTGCCTGCTGCAGGCCACAGAGCACCTGGTGCCAATGAGTTTTCTCCCTGCAGGTGCTTAAGCTCTCCTCCCTCTGGTTTCAGCTCCCTTCTGGTCCCAAGATTGTACTCTAGTCAGGTTGGCAAGCGAGGGAGTGGCCTGGTGAGGTGGAGGAAAGGTGGCTCTCTCCCCGGAACGCTAGACACCTCAGTGATAGTAATCTCACCAACCCCAAATCTGTACAGATCAGAGCTGACTGCTGCAGACAATTCTGTTCTAAATCTCCTCTAGCCTTCATCAGTGTGCCTCTGAAAACCCACTGCTTATATTATATTAGTGGGGGAAGAGGGCTAAGGATGTGTTTCTCTTTTCTGGGAGGGAGGGGGTGGCACGAGGGAGGGAAGATTGGGGAAAGAGAATGATCAAATTCTTTCCAAGATGCAAGTGTTTCTTTTTTAAATGTATACGTAAATAAAACCAACATTTGGCACAAGGCAAAATGTAAATAAAGGGAAAGACAAAGCCAGTTTTTGTTGTTTTTTCAAAAACAACAAAGTAATTCTCCAAAGAAGAGTACAAAAATGCTAGTTCCTTTAAGCATTTATGACTATAAAGTTGGTCCCTGCTTAAATGTGTCATCTTGATTGTGTAAGACACCATGGCAGTATAAGCAAGGTCTGTCTGCCATGAACAGACCACCTTGGGAAACCACAGAAACATCAGTTCCTTGCTGATGGAAGCCACACGCCTGCTTGGCCCACAGCAATTGTGTGCAATCCATGGGCTTGGACTCAACTAGCAGGCTAGGAAACACAGTAAACATAAGTGTGCTGTGAATCATTCCTGATAAGTGAATAAAACATTGTGACCAAACAATCAGCTTATTCACTTATCAGGAATCGACTGTTCTGCTAATTTGCTGTTTTTGTTTTTCCATTTCTGTTGTAGTTCACTATTTTTGCTGTGTTCTGTTTTCTCCTCTCATGCTTGGGCAGAATCACTGGGAATATTATCTTCATGTGACCATGAAACGTATTTATATCGAGTGAAAATGATTATCATAACAAAATCTATGCACTTGCTATCAGGAACACAATACTGGATGTGTCTTATATATATTGAACTATATAGTACTCGATTTCTTAAATAAAGCTTAAGAAAGGACTGTTGTGTGTAAAGTTAATGCTTATTATTTTTCAAAGCAGTGTTTCTAAAGGGGTATTTTTGTTCTTTTAAGTCGAGTGATACAGGATATTTTTCATTAAAATTCTATCATTGGCTTTACAACTTAATATTCAATAAATTGACTTTGGAAACAAAATGGAGTGGGGGGAAGTTCTTCTGAGTGCATTTTAACAAGAGTCATCTGGAAAACTATACCCTTACTGGTAATCATGCCAAACCTCCACCCAGACACTGTGGGAGGTAGAACAAAGAAACCCCTTCCCCTCCAAAAGACCACTAGAAAGCATCCACCCCAACCTAGAAACCCCAAATGGCTTTCTGAAAAGTGATCTCTTTAGACTCAGACGAAAAGAGACAAAGGAGAAAGGCAGATCCAAGAATACTGCTGGCTTGCGTCAATACTCTGCCCGAGTGTGGGGACACTAAAGCTGTGCCCTACTGGAGAACAAAAGCAGTTCTATTCAGGACCACAAAATGAGAGACAGCAAGAGAAAGCATTTGATCATTCTGGATAACAAGGGTAAGATTTCAAAGTGGTATGTTAGAGAGAGACAGCCTACAACAGTTGCAAGGCTTAAATGGGAGGCCTGCTGCTTGGCCCTTTGAGGAGTATTTTTGAAATTTCTCCCACAGGCTGTCAGTATGAACAGAATGGCATTTTCTGTTGGATTTTTTTTCCTTGCTTTGGAGTTTTATGATGGATTTGCTTTTACTTGCTTAATTCTTTGATTCTAGGAAAAACTGGTAAATTCCTACTTGCTATTAACATAGACACCTAATCTTATTCTTACCAGACAAATGGTATTCATCCCTGATAATAAAGGGCAGTAACTTCACTGATAAATCAACGTTCTTCCATTTTCTACCCCCATCCAGCCCATAACTCCTCACGAATTTGTCACATACCCCAAAGTCAAGAACTTGCAGTAAAAGTGAAAGATTAGAAAAGGAACCAAGGAATAGGAAAAGTAGCAAAATGAAGGGGATATGAGTAAATTGCCCTTGCAGGCACCCACCGCCTGGGGTGGAGAGATGTGACACGGAAAACCTGGCCTGTAGGAGCAAGACTCAGACATTTAGGCACTGGCTGCATACAGAGGTGCCCTAGGAAATCTTCCTTCCTCAGCCCTCCTCCCCTGCCTGCACCCACACAGCTAGAAACACACACACACATACACACACCACCTCCTTTTTTTTTTTTAATGTCGGTCATGGGGCTTGAACTCTTAAGCTTGGGCACTGTGCCTAAGCTCTTCAGCTCAAGGAGAGTGCTCTACCACTTGAGCCACAGCACCACTTCTGGTTTTTTGATGGTTAGAGGTAAGAGTCTCACAGCCTTTCCTTCCCAGGCTGGCTTTGAGCCGCGATCCTCAGATCTCAGCCTCCTGAGTAGCTAGGATGACAGGCGAGAGCCACTGGTGCCTGGCACACCCTGCCTCTTTTACTCAGGGCCTCTCACCTGGTAGGCTGGTGCCATCCTGCTGTTTTCCTCTGGTTATTTCTAGGACAGGGTCTCCTGGCCCTGTCCACACCTGAGCCATGATCTTCCTACATTTGGGCTTCTCATCACTAGGTTCACAAGTGACCACCACCATGTCCCGCTTCCACCACAGAGACAAAGTCTTGTGGACTTCTCTGCTTTGATGGCCTGCTTCCACAATACTCCCAGTGTCAGCCTCCAGTAGCTTGGGATATGGGTTTGCATTTCTGTGCTCATCATGTAGGTAGAGAAGGAATCACAAACTTTTATGCCTAAGCAGGCTTTCAACCTTGATTCTCCTGTTCTCAGCTTCCCAATTAGCTAGGATTACAGAGGTGAGCCACTGGAGCTCCCCATTTTTTAAAAGTGCATGTTCAAGGTCATCATGACCAGTCTGCAGCCCTAGATCAGGAATCCCTTGTACCTGAAAGGACAGGGGACTTGTGTGGTAGACCAGTGGAAAGTGCTGGGCTCAGTCAGTTTTAAGTCAGGTCTGTTTACCAGAAAGTACTCGGTGGGGAATGTTGTGTTTCTTTTAACATCTATCTGTTGCTCAAGAAAGCAGCCTGGCCACAACTTCTACTTGCCTGCATAAGGAAGGTATCTTTAAGAAGAAGAAAATTATAGATGATAGATAGACAGACAGACCAGCAGGCAGACAGAACACACACACACACATATACACACACACCACTGGGTTGTTCTGGTCAGCTATAATTAAAACTCCCATGAAGAATCTCCAATTTCAAGACACTGGGTCATCTTTCTGTTGTGAAGCTGGTGTAAAAGAGCTCACAAGCATTCTCTGGGGAACCAGGATGAATGCTCACTTTCCATCTAATTACCCATGTAACCTCTCGGTGCCTTAGTTTCTTCATTAGCCAAATAGGGGCAAAAAAAAAATAATGCATAGAGCTGTTATGTGGCTTAAGCTAACACATAGAAAAGGATTTGGTCACATTGTAAGTACTCAGAAGGGACAGCCAACTAGTAGTAAAACCCATGGACAGCAACTAAATGTCTAGTCTGTTACAGGTGTCCTCTCAGTCATCCACAGAAAGCCCCACAGCTCTCCCTGCGTTCCCAGGACAAATGCAGACAAGATCTGACCAGAGCCAATAGCTGTTCCAGAAGAAATCGCCATACTAACAAATCCCCAAACAGGCATTTTCCCTTTCAGAAAGAAATGTTCCCCCCTCCTTACAAGTTAGGCAAACCACATACGGTGGCCCTGAGCCAGTAAGATCAACAACTTACTCCTTTCTCATAAAAGGAAACCAATTCCTCATACTAAGCCATGCTTTCCTCCCTGAGAATTCTAGTCATCCCTTTCCCAGAAGGAAAGTTTAGTTGTTCCAGTTTGTGCCCAAGGCAGGATAAAATC